TTTTTTTTTTTTTTTTGATAAATTAAAGCACAATTTAAACAATATAAGCTGATAGATTGAAGAAAAAAAAATTTCCCTTTTCCCAATTCGAAAATGGAAAACAATCATCGTGTTATCTTACTATAATTGGTCAAATTGTCGCTCCGACTCGATATATATTTTTACCTCTCTCTGTTAAAAAGAAATTTACAAGAAAAGATTCACCTCATGGAGTTTGGCTACCCTGAAGGTAGTATATATAATTTTTACAAATTTTTATTTAAAAAAAATATGTCAGTTATGTTTTGATTAAAACATATGAAAGAAAATTAACAAAACCCCAGGCGAATTATCAACAAGTCTAATATTCAATATATTTTGTATTATATTTTATTATAAGGTTAAGACATTTGTGATAAATGAAGAATTTAAACAGGTAAGAATTTGATATATTGAATAGCATTGTTAGAATGTGTTCATTCATATTTCAAGACCGAGTTAGTTACAGAAATTGGAATTAATTTCATTTTTGTATCGCATGCACTATTAATCTGACTTTTTATAAATTGAGTTCCTTATTATTTCAAGCATGACACGCAAAGAAGAGAAATGAAATTTAATTCTTCAAAAAACATAGAGCACTGTTCTCATTTTTAATGAAATAGACATAACTCAATGAACATTGCATTCATTTATCGGTTTAAGCATTTAAATGATTTAAATGACATTTAAATGACATTTAAATGATTTGTTTTTAAGTTTAGTAGCAGTTTTATCAAATTCATCAAACGCAACTTTTGAAAAGTAACTTATTTTGTTTTGTTTTTTTTTTTTTTTTTAATTTTCCACTAACTTATCTGATATATAATGTATGAGGAAAAATTTAAAAAAAAAAAAGATTTTGTTATACAAACTTTATTTATTAGGAAGCTAGGGACAGCCTTTCCCTATGGATGTAATGACAATGTCGATAGTGTTGGAAATCTTACAAGCCCGCAGTGTAATAATGTAAATTTTGATGGGACTTTTTAACAATACACAGAGACGTAAGCGTAGTCATGGACATCTTCTACAAAAAACCCTGCAATACATGACGTCTCTTTTGATTCATTACTACCTTATGTAAATCAACAGTTAGGTCTACATCATATTCGAACCAAACTTTACTTTGTCCCTTTGAAATTTTTAAATAGTCTTCTTGAAAAGACCAAGGAACATCCAAATTTAGATTCCTCGACACCTGAATATAGGCTCGGTTCTGTGATTATGGATATTGCACATCATAGGCTTTTTAAACCCGCACGTTTCACGGAAGAAAATGCAGCTAAAACAATCCGTCTTTTCCTTAAACTTCAATATGCCAATAAAGGAATTGACGCGGTTAATATATGTAATATTCTTTGTCACAAAAGGGTCCAGTCTTGTATTCCACCATATTTCAAGTTAAAGACTACGCCTTGTATTTCATACAAATATACATCGACCATTGTTTCCAAACTTTTCAACTACAAAAACACTTTACATGGCCTGGATACCGACTATCTGAAAAATAATCCCCCTTCGTGTTCATGTTCTTCTTCGCCCTATAACTATAGTCCTGCTGGACACGTTATTACTGGTGACGTAAAAATAGTTCGTAATGAGGCCCTTTAGATCACTTATTTTAAAAGGTCCTAAATATAGGGAACCCCGATCCTTCAACTGGCGTCGGAATTTCATAAATATTATGGATTCTGTTGAAAATTACGCCAGACGATGGGCCAGATATGAAAAAGAAGACATTGACACCTTGTCAGAATGGATTAAATGTATCAGATCCTTTTATAAAGTAACGTATTAAAAGATTGAGGGGCAAAATGAAAACCATCTATCCTTCTGTGTTCTTTAAACCAGAAGTGAAAAAAGAATTAGATAGATTACACGATCAATACGTACTGGTTCCTGCCGACAAAGCAGGTAACAGCATTGTCTTCGTTTTTAAGGCTCTTTTTTAAATTGCATTCTAGAAGAACTTGGATTTAATTCTACAATTGGTAATCCTACTTATAATTTTCTTTTTCTTTTAAGGAAGAAATTCTTCAAAATCACCTGTCAGTTTTGAATGCTTTTAATATTCCACAGAGCCAAAATGAATTTGAACTACCTTATATATATATTGGATTCCAAAACTTCATAAGGATCCTTACAGACAAAGATACATTGCAGGTTCAAGTAATGTTCAACCAAACCTTTTTCGTTGCCTCTCACTAAGATATTGACAGTAGTGAAGGAAAAACTTCAAGAGTACTGTACAACTATATATTCAAGAAGTGGTGTAAATCAGATGTGGATACTTAAAAATTCTAAAGAACTTTTTGGGCAATTTGAAATCATAAGACCTTACAAAAATCAACAGCATAAAAACGTACGACTTTTTTAACTTTATACACAACAATTCCCCACGACAAATTAAAATCCAAGCTTTTTGATATCGTTGACAGCTACTTTTTCAATAAAAAAGGAATTCGTAAATTTACTTACCTTGTCATTGGTCATTTGCAAAATTATTTTGTTAAAATGCATTCTGATTGTACACACAAGTACTCTGAAGTTGACCTCAAAGAGATGCTTGAGTTTCTGATAAACAATATCCATGTTGTTTTTGGAGACCAGGTCTTCCAACAATCTATTGGAATTCCCCTAGGTACCGATTGCTCCCCGTTATTAACAGACTTGTTTTTGTATTCATATGAAGCAGAATTTGTGCGAAATCTTGCGTGAAAAAAAGAAAACACTCGTGTGGCCTTCAACTCGACATTTAGATATATCGACGACATATGTCAATTAACAACGGTAATTTCCATTCTTACGTCAATGCGATATATCCCGGTGAGCTCGAGATAAAAAAAAATATCACAGAGTCTGACACTTAGCTTCTGTTTCATACTTGGATATTTTACTTGAAAAAGACACTAATGGTAATCTAACAACCAAGCTATATGATAAACGTGATGACTTTAACTTTTCTATCGTCAACTTCCCTTACTTATGCAGCAATATTCCTTCATCACCTGCATACGGAGTATTTATATCTTTAGTTGATTCGATACGCAAAAGCATGCTCTACGTATGAACAATTTCTTAAACGAGGTTAATTATTGACAAACAAGTTGATGAAACAAGAATATCAACAGTCTCGTTTAAAATTTTCTTTCGTAAATTCTATGGTCTATACAATGACCTTGTCAGCAAATACAATTTATCATTGAATAAAATGCTGACTGACGTTTTTTCATACCAATTGTTAGTCCATTATTTATACACTGAATTGAGCACGGATTTTTTCCGTTATTTCCTGATTATGACAACGAGCACACGGCGGGTGTGACCGGTCGTGGGGGTGTTTACTCCTCCATGGCACCTGATCCCACCTCTGATGTTTGGGGGAAACCGTGTTTACTCTGCTCTTATTTTATATATTTGTTTAATAAAGTTAAATTGAATCTGTTTGTTATTTCCATATCCTTCTCTCGATTTTTTGTCAATGGCAATCATGTGTTTATTGATAGGATTTTTTTTTTTAATCGAAGATTCCTTGCGATGTAAGTATTGTTTTAATGTCAATATTATGATACAATGTATCTTTAAAATGTTGATTTTAATTTTGAAAGACGTTTTTGTAGCTGTTGCAAACGGGATCATTTAAAACTGCAGAATCATCTTTTCATTATCTTTAATAAACTTGTATTTTAGACATCATGATCATATGATCGGTGCTTTTCTCACATTTATTATTTCGATTTATTCAGCCATTTCGATTCTCGTAAGTTATGTATATTTGTATTTTATTGTATGTTGTTTATCATCCCATAAAACACACTCAGATCAACGTCACCAATGTTTCAACACCCTTTGAAAACAATGAAAATAGTGACAAAATCAAAGAAATTTGTTGTGTTAAAGTGTTTCCGTTCTTTATCTATGTAATATCCCGCGGAACTACACAATCACTATTCAAAATGTATGCACAACGATTGATCAGAAAGATGGCATTCACAGGGTATTTGAACAGTCTAGCGTTTATATTTTAGGTATCAAATAAAAGATTAAGGTGTAATCTGACAACATAAACTTTTTTAAAGGATTTCTTTGAGAAAAAGTAATGAAGAGCAATGTAAAATTTAAATGGAGTGAATATAGTGTCTATGGCTTACATTTCTTGAAATATGTATCAAATAAATGGGTCATCCATTATATCAAAATTATGTATTCAAAATAAATAGAAAAAATGAATATGATGTGAAACGGATTGAAATTCGATTCTTCAAGTAATAGAAACTAATAAACCCCTTTTCCATTCAAAAATACTCTTAGGTTAAGATCTAGTAAATGAAAGTTGCTTACATATTTACTTCTTCCTTTCATCTAGGGGAATGGTGAGGGACAGACTTGTTCGTTTGCTTTATTCTACCAAGGACCAGAACATTGAAACCTATTAGGTATTTTATAAACCTCTTTTTACCATTTTAACTAATGTTTAATTTATTAAATTTACGAGGATTTGTTTCAAATATATCTATTTTTGCCTAGGATATTTGTCACTTTTCTCTGTTGAAATTACATATTGTATAGAATCCTGAATGCCATCTGGAAATATGTGTATAAATGTCAGGAAATGGTCAATATCTAATGACATCATGAAACAAACGAAAATACTTTAATTCTTTTTACCAAAATATGTCCGGTCTCAGCTTTTAAAAGAATAAACTTATGCTTTAATCTAGGAAATTGGTGAGGGATACACTTGTTCATTTGCCGTATTCTACCAATGAACAGGACATAGAAACACATCAGGTATTTTATAAACCTTTTTCTCATACCAGTTTTACTCTAATTTATTTGGTTAAATTCATGAGGAGTTGTTTCAAATACATCTAATTTTACCAAGGGTCGTTGCCTTTTCTTTTGAAATTTTATATTGTTTAGAATCCTGAACGCCATTTAGAAATACATGTACAAATGTTAGGAAAGGGTCAATATCTGACATCATGAAGCAAGCGAAAATCATTAAATTCTTTGAACCAAAATATGCCGAGCTTCAGCTTTTAAAAACAAATTATGCTTAAATCTAGGAAATTGGTGATGGACAGACCTGATCTACCTGGGGCCAGGGCATAGAAACATGTCAGGTACTTAATACACCTTTTTTGTCCCGTTTCCACTAGTGTTTAATTGGTTGAATTTCCGAGGAGTTTCAGATATATTTATTTTCGCCAAGGGCCGTTGCCTCTCTTCTTCGCTAAAATTTCATATTGTATAAAATCCTAAACGTTATCTAGAAATACATGTACGAGGGGTTATCAAAAAGTTCGTGGACTAAGGCTATAAAATTCAAACTATGCAGTCTGTGCTTTCAAAATTTATATGGAACATAAAACAACAAAAAATAAGGACATGTTGAAAAGTTTAGCTTGATACGTTTATTATTTGCCAAATTATTATAAAATAAAAACGACATTAGTATCCTCATCACCCGGCGCTGCCGTCGTTTATTTTCATGACGTCTGACAACATTATTGTTTTTTCAAAGTCCTCTTCTTCTACCTCATGTACTTTTTTGGATGAGATTCCCTGGAGCTGAGTAAGGACTTAATCCCGCTTGGTTTATATGACTTTACAATGTCATGAACAGCAGCTTTCAATGAATATAATATTCCAAATGGATTTATACATTGGGAGACATCCTCGCTTGATTGTGCCAGTATACTTTGCTTATGGGAGTTCAATACCTACAACATATGATCAACGTCATTTTTTGACGCGATTGAGTTTTCACACTTTGACTACAAATCAACATTAACTGTATATCCCTTTTCTCTCTGAATCTATTTTGACATTAAAAGACAAGTATTCTGGATGCATATTATTTCTCTGTAGCCAGTTTAAACATTTCTTAGGTCTATATAAGTTTTTTCAAGGGCAAAACGTGATAGAATGTTGAAAAAAGACCCCCCCCCATTCCTTTTGACGTCATTTTCAAGGCCTCATTTAGTTGGATAATCCATGTAAAATTTACGATATAATTTCATAGAAATTCCAGAATGAAGTGTTAATTTCAATTTTTTTTGGAAAAAATGTCCCGACACACCCTAATTAATGGGATTTTTGGATGTCAAATGTTCATGTCAAAAGAGTTTTTTCTCAGTCACAATGGGGCGCAAA